TCATCTTAGCCTTGGCATTGTCAGGTATGACGGACACTTCCGAGATCCTGTTATGATCATTGATGGCTCTGTGAGGCCAGAAGTAATATACATGGGTGTGTTCAGCACAAACTCAAAAGCAGTTAAATCTTGAAACACACCATGAAGTTTTTACAACCATCTGCAAGGTTATTTACCTTATATAAATAATATATGTTTTTGTAGAGACATGGGAACTTTTGTGTAAGGAAGATTTAAAAATAGCCTCACACTGCTTGTTTCTTTACTTCTTTTTATTTAATGTAGACATGGTAGACAAAGTTTTGACCACACATGATAGGTTTAGTTTACCCCACCCGTGGACGATGATTTATTGTGATGTCATTTATCAGGGTATCAATAATATCTTCATAGAATAAAAAGGAGATTTGGGTATGAACACCCAATGTTGGTTTATTCTTTAATCTTTCAGTATATAACAGTTAGTAACAGCTAGAAAACACTCAGAGCACATACTGCAAAAATCTGTAATTTAAATTTACTCACATTCATATTACATATTATATACACTCTCATACTGAAGGTATAATTCGTTGATGTAATAATTCCTCCTCTTTTACAAATTAGCCACGAAGAGACACTTCCTCATGGTAATCAAATTCAAGAGATAGGGCACAAACTATGAGGCTTCAGCTGTCTCAGTTAGTCAAATTAGAGGGTCCAGATTCATGGCTCAACAGTGTTTTCTCGTTGGAGGAGCAATTAAAGTGACCAAAAACTCTCTGGCCATGTGAGTGAGTATTTTTTTATGACATGAGATTTGAAAAAATGGGAACCTGTCCTCAAAAATTCTTAGATTTGCACCAATCACTTCCACTAAATCCACTAAACTTCACTGAAATCTGTTATTAGGTTTTCAACATATTTATTCTCACTAACAAATGAGACTAAAATAACTTAAACCACGATGTTAGAGCTAATTATCAGTATATATTCTCCATTTTGAGTCTGTGTCTGTGTCCTCGTCCCACAGGCTCCACGTCTGAGGTGATCAGCACCAACACGTGGCCCATTGGCAACCTCGGCGAGGATCAGCTTCTCAGCTGCTATGTTAACACCGACAGTCAAGCCAAACTCACAAAAGTTTCAGTAACCTGGGAGAAGAAGGATCTGAGCGGACTCGTTTACAAGTATCAGAATGCCGCACCGGTTCTTGGGGACCAGAACTCACAGTTCAAAGGGAGGACTCAGCTTTTCCCTGATGCTTTAGTCACAGGTAATGCCTCTCTGCTGCTGAGGGCTGTGAGAAGTACAGATGCGGGTGTGTACACCTGTGCTATCAGCTCCTCTACTGCAGGAGGAAAGGTCAACATTAACCTCAGAACTGCAGGTAGGATGACTCATCTTTCTAGTTTCACTATGTTTGCTTCGAAAATGAATCTATCTTGTCTTATCTAACATTGGAAAAACTTTACTCATTGCTGAGGGGTAACTAGTTACATGTAATTTAGTTACGTAATTTAATAACAAAATAAATGTGAGTGTAATCTATTACAGTTACTAATGAAAATGTTAATCCTTGCATTGGCGTTTACATCTGAATATTCTCTGTAAAAAGCTAGGCTGTATGTTGAATACTTATTTTGTTGCTTTGCATGTTTTTCATGTGCACCATGTCTTCCTTTGCTATTTCCAGGCACAGCTGTTCGGTAAAGTTTGATGCTGTGCTGATGCTTTTTATTGGTTCTCATGTTGCAATGATTTTGCAGCGCCGCCCATCTGCCATTTAAATTGCCTCTCAAGCTGCTTTTGATAATGGTCAACAGTTGAAAACATTCATGTGAAATTTTGAAAAGTAATCAAAAAGTAATTATATGTACAAAGTTACATTACTTTGAAAAAGTAATTGAAATAGGTACACTACAATTAGACAGTGTTGGAAGAAGTATTCAGATCTTTAAGTAAAAGTAATAATATCACACTGAGAACTCCACTACAAGTAAAAGTCCTGCAATCGAAACCGTACTTAAGTAAAAGTATGTAAGAATTATCAGCAAAATGTACTTAAGGAGTACCAAAAGTAAAAGTACTCATCGTGACAGTCCCTGTCAGTGCTTTACTATTATGATGTTTTTGGATTAGTATTGCAGTGTCATAGTTAGCATAACTAAAATAAACACACAATTACAGTTACGAAACAAACACAACTTATACAAAACACACATGAGGTATGTGGCAAACAAGCTTGAGGGAGGTTGAGAGGAAGGGCTTCATGAAGCAGTCCTTATTACTGTGGTGCTGAAGGAGTCTCCGACTGCAGATACTATGTAGGGTTGTGCTAATTTTGAACTACTTTATATCCTGGTGAGTAGCTTAAGCACGGAATTTCCTGGTAGGAAGATCGATTTTCGCGCAAAATGCAAATGAGAAATCCATGTCTGATCCTAGTATTTTGTCACCCTATGCATGCCACACACCTCAGCCAGAATCTCAAACCAACCATTTGTATCCACACCAAACACACATCAAACACCAAGCATCTAAATGAGCCTATATCACAACATAAATCGCTCTGTAAACACTGTACATGACTGCAGTTATTGCCGTCCAGATATCTCTCATTTCATCCTATACCGCAATCTGACCACTCTATAGAAAGCTCAGCGCCAGGTCTGATCAGCTGGGTAACTCATATCACTCAAATCACCAAACTGTGCACGTCAGACAAATGTAGTGGAGTGAAAAGTACAATACTACAAACTCTGAGCTGTAGTGGAGGAAAGTATAAAGTAGCATATAATGGAAATACTCAAGTAAAGTACAAATACCTCAGATTTGTACTTACATTCCACCACTGCAATTACAATTAACTTACAATTGGTAACCTATTACATTTCCAAAGTAACCCTCCCAACACTGACTTTACTTTAACCGAAAAAAACATTTATAAGCAGTAAACATTTGATAAATGGTTCATAACACACTATAATGAAGTTCTAAGCAGATATATGGACATTTATTTTGCATCTTTTGTTTTTATTAATGCAGTATTTGTTCAAATTTATACCCTCTCCAACGAAGATATTATTCTGTGTTTTACTATGGCGTCATTAATTATCTGTTTATATAGCCCAGCCTCCAATAATGGGTGCTCACAGTAGGAGCTGTAGACTCTCACTATACAATTTTTGGGGGGGAGGTGGGGGGGTTGATATGCACAGTATGACAATGTGACTATACAATGAAGTTGGTCTTGGAAAATTCACATTGATGCACGGACTGGTCATTTTTGCTTACCATTTTTTATTCTCAGCCTTTTCAGCCCCCACATTTAACGTCTTAGATGGCAACCTGGTTGCAACGGCGAGCAGATGGTTCCCTAAACCACATGTGACGTGGTTGAAATATGATAACAAAGTCCTGAATGGAATCACAAACTTCACAGAAGACACTGCAGGGATGTTCAGTGTAGTCAGCAAGCTGCAGCCCGTCAACATCAGCGACACATACACCTGCAGGATTGAAAATAACCTGGTGACTGCCGTCTCTGAGGCAACTGTAACAGGTATTCTTGTATAACTTGTTATAAAATGTTTTTTACAAGGATATCTGTTGATCTCAAAATGGCACGAATTGGCGTGATGATTACTGGCAAAAGCCAAACCAGGGTGTGCTGGAAAAACTTTGCTGATTTTATACATGAAGTTCAGTTTACCCATCATTAGGAGTACTGCTCAGCCTGTGAAAACAGTTGAATCATTTCTGAAGTCTGAGAATTTTCAGAGTTGTTACTCGTTTGTTATCTCAGATTGGGTCTTCAAATTTTTGACACAAAGCGTGACACCATGGGCATTTACTAGGTAGGGATGGTATGATGAAAGACACTGTTGAGTTGCATTATCAAAAGTCCCCGACTAAAAATCAGAATATCTCAGCCTCTGCTGCTATGGCTTCTTTTATTAATGTTTCTCTGACAAGTCACTCAATCTCATGGAAGTACAACACTGAATTGTTGGGGGGGGGGGACTCATTTCTATCTTTGATTAATAAATATATTAATCATATGTAGAAAAAACATATATATTAAATAAAATAAAGCAAAGCAAGTTGTAAAGAGATTTGACTCTACTTTCATATTTTCCAGGTGTTTCTGGTGTTTCGGAAAACACGTACTTCACCTACAGTGCTGCATCGTCTTTGCTGGCATCAACTTACCTGAGCATTATGACCACTGTCCTCTGCATCTATTATCTCACCTAATAACACACACACTCTTACGCTCTGCATTTTCTCAGTCCACATTTATAATGTCTTTTTACTTTTCTTGTAAGTGTCATGTTTTAATTTAACGCTCCATCTAGGTCATTAAATGTTTCAAAATTTCAGTTAGCTTGAGTTGTTTTTGTTTTTATTTGTCTTTCTGCTAAAACGAAGGATGAACCACCATCCCTGTGTAGAAACAGCAGAAAATAAAACAGTATATTAAATGTAAGCATATTATCTTATCAAATGAGTGACCTAACATACTGTTTTTTGTATTACTGATTTATCTAATAAATACAATTCATTTTAGTTGTTCTGAAATGGGTGCGTTTGTTTGGGATGGCAAAGTAGCATCCAAAGAAGGTTAAAGTCAAGGGCAACAGGACTTGGTTGAAGATAGTACTAGAAGACGTTTCTTCCCTCATCCCAGAGACTTCTGCAGAAGTCTTCAACCAAGTCCAGTTGCACTTGACTTTGAAGTTCTTTGGAGAACTATGACCTGGATGACTGGCTACTAATTAAAACTAACGTGGTAGAAAATAGATTATTTCTGCCATGGAGCAGCTATGTTGTAAACAAAGATCCAGTGAACTGTAGCCTGTTCAGTCACAACAAAAATGTGTCCATCCGTCCTCCTGTTGTTCTGTCCTGCCAGTAGATGGGGACAGTCAGAATCCCAGACTGGTATGAAAGAGTGCTGGGAAGTCTTTGGACCACCCCTCACAGTCCGTGAGAGGTTTCCTATTGGCCGGGTAGGGCGTGAGGTGTCGGATGTCCCATGGAGCAGTGAACTCAGCCAACTTCTCCCGAAGAAAAGTAGGGCTTCCCAGTGGGATTATAATCAGTAAAGGGACATTAAAACATCTATAGTTATCAGAGTGCGTAAACTGAGTTTCACATGAGTGCTTATTATGCAGAGCAAAGTTTCGAAAGAAGTTTTCCTTAAGTTCTGACAGGTTTGTGTAGCTCGGTGGTTTTCAGGGTGGTGTTCACTGGTTTGTTTTTGACACCAAAGTCACCAAAAACAGACAGTATGTCGCAGTCTGAACAGAAAGAAAACACGGAGCAGCCAAAGTTAAGCTCTGAAAATGAACACAGCGGGTTCTTGGTGAACCCGAGAGCGGTTTGTAACGCGTGTAAACGCTTGTACCGGGACCCTAAAATCCTCCCTTGTCTGCACACCTTCTGCTCCGACTGTGTCGGCCGGCTGGAGCCGTTCTCTGTGTCTTCGCGCAGAGGCGAAGAAGCGGTGGAAGAGGACCGACCCGCCGTCACCGTCACGGTGCTTTGCCCCGACTGTGACTCCGAGGTGGACATCCCTCCTTCGGGACCGGAAGGGCTGAGCACCGACCACCTGGCGCTGGACGAAGTATTCCTGGAGACCCTGGCGACGGACGGCCCGCTGGGATGCGACCTGTGCGGTGAAGGAGGCGCCGAGAGCCGCTGCGAGGTCTGCTGCGTCAACCTGTGCGAGTTCTGCTGCCAGGCGCACAGGTAGGGTTTCTTCTTTCTGTTCCTTTTCTCCGGTCAAGCTCAAGTGGTTAATTAGTATTTCCATTTCATGTAACTTTACCAACTTTGCCTACTTCTACTTCTACTCCACTACATCTAATTATCAATATTTTTATTCCACTACATTGGTCTGAAAGCTCGAGTTACTTTTCAGACTATACCATGCCTGTCCAGTGAAACCTGTTTATCTCCAAATCTGGTTATTTTAAATTCGAGGTTTTCTGATAAACTAAAGGAAACTAAAGTGTTCCTTTGTGGGATGAGGAAATTATCCTTCTTCTTAAACTTAATAAACAATTTAAATTATGCTTGGATCAGATGGGTAATCCATCTTCACAAAGCAGAAAACAGGGCTGTTTATTTGCTTATTTGTTTTATTTTAGAGATAAGTAGGACAGAATTGCATACTTACATACTTTTGCTTAAGTAAGGTTTTGAATGCAGGCTTGTAGTGGAGTTTTTTCAGTGTTCTTTTACTTAGCCTAAGTAAATGATCTGAAAAACTTTTCCACCACTGTCAAGCTCACAGTAGTTTTACACTGTTATTGTCTGCTGTCTGGCTCAGGGGTAAGTTCTACTCTATTCTTTTTTGTGCTTTGTGCTCTGTTATTGTTTTCTATTCTATTTTTTGTTGTTGTGTTTTGTTCAGTAGCAACTATATTCTCTACTCTTCCAGCCAATAGCAGGTAACGTGTGATCTCCAGCTATGTTTTAAACAGATATATATTCTGACATACAGACATGTACGTAAATCTGTATCTGTCCTCTCCCCTGTCTGCAGGCGGCAGAAGCGAACAGCATCTCACTCTGTTCAGTGTCTGGAGGAGCTGAAGTCTCGTGGTCGTCTCTGCCGCCCCGTCCTCTGCTCTCTCCACCCCGGCCAGGAGCTCCGGCTCTTCTGTCAGCCCTGCGACCTGCCCGTCTGCCTGGAGTGTGCCGCCACACTGCACCGCGACCACCGCTGCTGCCCCACCCGGGATGTTATCGATCGTCATGGAGACCGCATCCGAGAGCTGGTCACGGTGCGCCTGCGACCCCGACTGGAGCGTTTAAAGGACTCGCTGCAGAAGGTGCAGAAGAGTCTGTTATTACTTTTTTTATCCTATTGCGAATATATTTAGACTTAGTAAAGTATGTTGTGGCCGCTTGACACATTTCAGCCCTAACCCAGACTACATGTATTGTGGCACGTTCTAATCCCAACTTCAAGTGTCAAAACAACCTTAAGAAACTTACAACTATGTCCATGTTTTAACACATTTGTATGGGTTAAACAATGGCCTTTTTTTCTTGTGACGTTCTGTAATTTCACATAACACAATAACTCCCAAACCACCTCCTTCTTAAAGATTTTGTTTTGAAGACACAAAATCTTTGTCATGACCTGTTGTAACATACATGATTTGACTTCAAATGGTCAGGTATCTTATTTTCCAACAAAATTCTTTCTTTCCACTCATTTCCAGGTGGAAGTAGCCCAGGAGACTTTGCAGGCACGGGTGGATGCAACAGCGAACGAGGTGAGGGCGTTTGCGCGAGCCTACGCCAGCGCTGTGGAATCCCACTGCCTCTCTCTGCTGCATTGCCTGGAGGACGTCCGTGTGCAACGCAGGTATGGCGCAATGCATGTAGAGTGGGCCAAGTTATGTTATCAGTTTTGTTTGGGGAATGAATGAAAGGTAAGATTTTTAGAGGTAAGCAGGGACGGGTGTTAAGCAAGTCCAAATAAATGCAAGAAGTTAAACTAGGACAAAAAAAGTAGGACGACAGAGTTCTTCCTGAAGCTTCCTTCTCACAGTCTCAGATCTGAGAAAAAGTTGGAGTTGGAGATTGAGTTTTAATTGGGTAGTTTTTACTGATTCGGATTCTGGTTGCTCATCAATTCTAGGATTATTTTACAATAGCTAGAAAAAAGCATACATTTCTTCTTCAGCAGCAAGAAAGTCACAAAAGTTGTAGAACAGTTGTGTTGAAGTCCAACACATTATTGCACAATTTGCTGCTCCTTCATTAATATCTCCAGCCACGTATTGTATCAGTAGTCAGTGGTTGGTTCAGAAAGTCAAATCTTAGACTTGCTACACAAAAAATAGGCTGCTCCTTTCTGGCTAGTGTGTGGGGCTCCATTATGCTGGGTAAAAAGCTGAGCGCTAGAGGTCAGCTGTCAGCATCTTTGATATTAATGTTGTTATTTTGTTGTCTTGCTCTGTAATATATTGTCTACACACTTGTTTTAACAGCAGAAGCACTGAGTCTAAAGCTTCCTGCCAACTATAGTTCCTGCAGCTTTCAGTGCATCTAAGGGTCTTCATCAGCTGATAGAGTCCATGCCAACTAAGAGAACTCCATCTGCTGATGGAGAACACAAGATGTGATTTATTATACTATTATTATTACTATTATTTATGAGGTAAAAACACATGAACTTTCATACTAAATTTAGAAATTAGTTAAAGAAGTTATGCTGAAAGCTGCATTGCCCAGACACTATGAGCATAGCTATTGCAGAACATTACTGAAAAACTAATAATTCAGTCAAGGAATGAATGGGTTTTCGAAAGTAATGCCATTTTGAGAAGGAAGATTGTGTAGGGAGCATTTTAGAAATTGTGTGAAAGTGCTTATTTATTGCCACACACTGAGTGGTGTGAGAGGTACAGCACTGTGCAAAACTGCAACCTAAAACCTTTGCACTGCACTGTCTGTGTTGAGACAATGACCACACCGCCTGCTCTGAGTTTGTTAATTCAAGGAACACTGGGCGTACTGTATTTGCACAGAAAAATATGTGTTTCACTTTAATAAATATAAACAGGCCATCATGGTTTCCCAACAGGAACCAGCTTCACCTGCAGAGGGCACAGCTGCAGCAGGCTCTGTTGGACATTGGAGGCGGAGTGGAGTTTGCAGAGAGACTGCTGAGCTGCGGGTCAGACGCTGAGATCCTCAGCGCCAAAGGAGTGACCCTGAGAAGACTGACCAGCCTGGCAGAGAGCAGCTATGACCCCCACCCGGCAACTGCCCCCCAGACGACGGCAGCAGCATCAGCTTCATGCCCAGGGAGCCAGCGGGGGATTTGGAGGGCTACCCGGTGGTCGGGGTTATTAACTCTAAGACAGTGGACCTCAGCAAGTGCACCATCGAAGGGGAAGGTAAACACTCCAAAGACCTCTCCTCTTCTTTTAAGAACAGGTTGTTATGTTAGGATTTTCTTATTGTGAATGAATCTGAATTGATCCTACAAAGTTTAGTCTGTGTAGCCAAATCATGTTATGCTTATTGCTCAGTTGTCCAAACGCTATTATAAAAAAAATGAATGAGCCAAAGTAACTAAAGTCTTTTTTTTTTATTATTATTACCATGAACAAGTCGATCCCACATACGCAATACAGGTGCTGTGAATATTCACTCAACACAACGTGTGTGAATTTGCATCTGAAAATTGTTCCAACAAATTCTTTATTTGTTAAAAACTGCAGTGCCTCGCTGTTTTAGAACTGACTTTTTAAAACATGAAAACGGTTTTATAGATGTGGACCAATTGGCTTGGGGCTGAGAACCACAGAGCTTTGACTAGAGTAGACATGTTGTTGGGTTTGAAGATTTCATGGGATGTGTCGATGGTAAGAAAAATATAGAATATCCCCAGTCTTGTCTGGTCCCAGTGGAGACTGGAGTAGTAAAAAGAGTATTGTTACCTTCCTGGGTGCTTTGGTTCAAAGAGAGAAATTCCTCTGGGACTGAAGGAATGTTGAGGTGATTCAACAGGCCTGAAGGAAGTGCACTGAGGGGATATTTACACCCAAACATAACATACTCACAGACACACACACCGTAAAAGAGAGAAGGGAAGGAAAAACTTACAAGTCACATTGCAAGTGGACGTGTATTTCAACCTCCAGGGTTTCATAATGGAAGAATAGAATGACTTTTTGTGATGCCACTCCTGCTATATGCAGCCCCCCCCCCCAAAAAAAAATACTAGAGTTATTATACAGAAGTAAATATGTACCAAGCTTCTCCTTTCTCTCTGACTGTCTGTGTGCATCTGATTTATCACTTAAGAAAGGGGAATAAGTAATAGTAGTCACAATGTTCATTTAAATAGCAAAAGCAAATTTAAAGTGTGCATTGCAGATATAAAGACAGAATACAATGACTTATATAAAGTTCTGAAATACATAATAAGTTATTAGAAAGGTAATCAACAACGATTTTGATGATTGATTCATCTTTTTAGATATTTTTCAAGCAAAATTACTAAACATTTGCTAGTTCCAGCTTCTCAAAGGTGTGGATCTACTGCTTGACTCTTGTTTTAAATTTATTCATTTAGCTGACGCTTTTATCCAAAGCAACTTACAGTTGCTACGTATATCAGAGGTCACATGCCTCTGGAGCAACTAGGGGTTAAGTGTCCTGCTCAGGAACACATTGGTGAATAGAATGGATGTAAAGGTGGATGTATCAAAGTCGAAGGATTGATCCCAGGTCTCTCACACCAAAGGTAAGTTTCTTATCCACTGCTCCATCACCACCCCATATATAAAGTTTACTTATATCGCTGTCGGTTGGACAAAACAGGCAATTTGAAGCCATAACATTGGGCTGTAGGAGAGGGTCATGATGGGCATTTTATAGACTGAACAATAACTTGATTATTTAAAAAAAAGAATCATTCACAGATTAATTGGTAATGAAAGTTGCAGTCCTAAAATATCACTCACAAGAGCACATAGAAATATAGTAATATTGTCACATGCACATGGCATCCTTTGTTGTGCCTCCACAAATCACACACTTCCAACACACACACACACACACACACACACACACACACACACACACACACACCAGCAGAGATTTGCAGCAGCTTGTCTCCATGAATGGCTTGGCTTTAGGCAGTGTTTGACTGTGTGGGAAATGGAAAACCTCAGCAAATACAGACTTCTGTGCGGAGTTCTCTAGGTGTCAAAGAGCAAGTGTATTGTTGTAATGCTTGCCCAAAGGTCAGTCTGTGTTTTGTGTGAAGTGTTTGTTTGGGTGCTTGCTTGTGCCTGTTTTAGATTGTGTGCCATGTAAAGCACTTTGCCAAGCGGTGACCTCACCATTTATCTTTCTTTTATATTGACTTTTTGATACATGTGGTTAAGGCTTCTCCTTTTTTATGTAGGGTTGTGCTGTAGATATCCACAGTATCACTCCATCAGCTAAAGCAGCCTTTTCTCTCTGTAAGTTGTTTGTCCCTCTCAAGTTAACTTTCTTTTTCCTTACGCGGAGTCACTCTTTCATTTCAGGGGGGGCAGATAAAAGGATAAAGACTTTTGTTGACTGTTAGAAAGCAGAAATCACAGAGCCTTACTGATGATTATCCCCACTCTGTCTGATAAGACGGGTTGAAGTGTTGGATTTGGACCACAAGGCTGTACAGCACAGGTGTAATGTGGGCCAGAACAGCTGCGTCTGTAATAGTGACAGCTGCTGGGCTTAGCAAGTGCGCACACACAAATTCACAGATAATTCACACACATTAGTAGCAGCAGTGATAGCAGTAATAGAACTAGTGGTCCAAATGATAGTAATTGTAGTTGCAGCACAAGGAGATTTTTTGCAGTGGCAGAGGTAGTAATTACTGCACCAATCCTGTAATTGAGTAAAAATAGCAAGAATGTAAAGGAAAGAAAACTTTTATATAACAAGAGAAATGGGTGCGCAGATAGGAGCTAATTGCAGATAACAGCTGATGAAAGAGACGGAAGATGGATCCTTCCATAATGTACTTTTGTTCAAAGAACTGCTTAAAAAGTTTACTTTTAAACTGTATTATACCATGTTATCTTGGTGAGGTCTTATTACATATATCAGCCGATATATTGGAATATTAAATTTTAAAATCCTGAAATATCAAAATCGGCATCCGTCTTAAAAACCCTCGGGCTCTAATCATGGTTGTTGTTGTTATTAACGTTGTTTTGTCTTATTCTTATTCTTATTTTCATCCATTTTAAACCTGTGCTGTATAAAACTGGTTTAGTATTATAAAGTTTATTATGACAGTAGTGGTGTGATAACAGTAAGAGTAATATTTGTCACAATAACAGACAGAGTTGAAGTAGTTTAATTTGCAACAACTCCAACAGCATCCAAACAAATCCCCCTGCAGCTACTGGAAAACACTGAATAATAACAGATGAATACACAGTGGAGGATCATTAGTTATCGAGCGGCAAATAGAGTCTGACAGGAAAATGCAAAGTAACATTAATCATTGATATGAACACAAATGATGTTGGCTTTAACACAACAACAAGTCCACAACAGGTGATGAATATCTTCAGCGAATTTGTCTCCAGAGCAGAACAAGTTAATGAAACACTAAATAATGATGTGAGGTTTTTGGAAAACTCTGGTCAGCAGCCCTGAAGCCCGGCTGCGCCTGGAGTCACACTTAAACCGGCTGCAACCGCCATATGTTTTGGGGGAGAAAGTGGCTTACGTAAGCACTCGGGAGGGGGTTGTTTAGTGGGTGAGTTGGTGTGTGTGTCTGTGTGACTTAGTCTTTAGGGGGGAAAAGACAAATGTCGTAAGTGCCTCAGTGCGTCTGAATGATGAAGTGCCTCTCTTAATGTGATGTGCCCGCGCAAGATCACTTGTAAAACTTTGAGAGACAAGTCCTTCTGTCTTTTCTTAGTTTGTGTGTGGCTGTCTTTCTGCCTCTCGTTCGTGTACTTGTAAGAGAGAGTCTTTGTGTGTTTCTGCCTTCAGATGTGTCAGTTGCTTGTGTTAAAGAGACCTTTCTGCTTTTCTTTTAAGTTGTTTTCTGTGTGTGTGTGTGTGTGTGTGTGTGTGTGTGTGTGTGTGTGTGTATGTGTCACTCTTTGTCCATCCATGCACACAAATTGTGCACTGACGCATGTACTGTATTTGTGTGTTTGTCGGCGCATCATTATGGCCTCTTTAGGTCTACAGAGGGGCAGGGATGGGCAGCAGGGCCACTTCACCCTGGTGTGCCGGGACTCAGCTGGGGAGCAGATGACACGAGGTGGAGAGCAAGTCTTGGTCAGCGTCGTTCACAAGGAGAAGAAAAACTGGTGAGTGTCACAGAGTTTGAGTATGTCAACATTTTAACTTCCTAGGAAGCAGGAACACTCGACAGGCTCGAGGAAATTCAACCGGACACCTCAGGATTGAGCCTCTAGGTAGCCAGTCTCCTGCTGCTGACGTGTCCTGGAGCAAGCACTGATGGCTTTGTTTCTGCTGGCACCTTTTGCAATGGTCAAGTGGCATTTTCATGGGGCACAGGAAGGTTTTAGCCTCTCATTAAGGGGAATGTCATGGAGAAACTGCAGTTTTGGTGTTGAGATTGATCAGGTTATTCACAGTCTGCCATGCAGCTGCTCAGAGCAGGTCAACAGAGCACTCTGCACCTGTGCATTAGTGCTGTTTTTGTCACTTACAGACCTCCATAATGACACCAGCAACTTTTAGTCATGTTATGCATATATATATATACCAGGTCTCACACTCATTTATGATTAATATCTGATTCCTACCATCAGCCCTTATCCACAACAGCTTGCATGTATGAATGCCTGCCTTTTTAAATGTATTAACTCGTGACTGCCATGTGTGTTCCATATAAAGTCTGTAAGTTAAGTGAAATTGCTGTGAATTATCAAACTGCAGCAACTCACACCAGATCTCCTGTGGTTACCTTAATAAGATCTAGTGCTACCAGCACAAGGCTGTTGCTGAATAACCATACAAACCTGTGTTATCTTGCGCAAATCACACTTGGCTACATCTTAGTAATCAACACAGCCTCCTAGTTAATGCAGTGTGAAAGTGATCAGCAGTGGAAGACGGTGACAATGTGATGCATGAAATAGGTCGACCTGTGGGTTATCAACTCTGTGATGTGGTGGAGAGGAATCACAATTGGTCAGACAGCTGGGTTGATTACGTTTCAAAACTTGAACTGTTGTGCAGAGATAAAGATCAAAATGTTTCTTCTTCCGGTGAAATTGTGTTTTGATCTGTCTGAGAAGAATTTGGCTTAAGCTTGGATATTAGTGATGATTTAAATACAAACAAGAAACAAATGTTGCAAGTTGAAGAATCGTTTTTTGTCAAGCTATGAATTGTGACAAAGTAATTTCAATCAATACTCTTAAAATGAATTTCTGTATAACAGAGCTGTTTATCAGTTGCATTTTCTCAGTGATATTCTACAGTGTTAACAAGATTGTTTTCTTCTTTTCCTTCAGCACAGTGGAGGCGACAGTGGTTGATAACAATGATGGATCCTACAGCATTTCGTACACCTGAAGAGCCAGGTGCCTACTCAGTGTGGGTTTGTGTCAAAGCCCAACATGTCAAGGTACGAAGCCAACCCAAGTAGTTTGTCCCAAAAGAATCAGGGAATTTATTTTTACCAATCAAAACAATTGCTTATTAATTATTTTTTGCCGCTGAGAATGGCACATTAAAACCTGCTGGACTGAGCTGTGGTGTTGCCAGCAGCTCACAGCTTACCGCCGCAGGGCTGTTAACATCACCCTGACAAAGTCAATCAATGTGGGCAAAATTCTCTTCAGGCAAAAACATATTAAATGGCAGCTCTCTGATGTTAAGTGTACCTACTGGGATGTTTGAAAAGTAAAAGACCGTTTGACATCCTGAGGTATAGGGATACGTCACTTTTCTGTTTTTATGTGATGCTGGCTCGTGTCGACCCAGACAACACCGGCTGGCTGACTCTTTCCCCTCTCGTCCTGCAGGGTTCTCCGTTTATTCTAGATGTGAAGAGAAAGTTGAGGCGTCACCGTGGGACGTTTCACTGCTGCTCCTTCTGCTCCAGTGGAGGAGCCAAGGAGGCTCGCTGTGGCTGCCCAGGAACCATGCCAGGTACACAGAAGCTATCTTTAAAATGTCTGCAAATGGTACACTTTTTTTTAAGCAGGACATGGAGAGGGAACAGATAGAGGAACAACAACATTATTAGACACCACTGTCATCTGTGGTTTGAGCACTTCTGTTTTTGAGGGAAACCGGTTTTGTTATCATGTAATACTCTCCACATGTGAAGTCAAATTAGAATCAGAAATGCTTATTAGTACAGTTTTTTTTTGTTTTTTTCAATCATGTAGCCACAGGACATGTGTTTTCAGAAATGAGGCACAATGTGCTCAATTACAAATATTTACTGTTGCTAGCGAAAACATAATTACTCTCTCCATCTAAAACTCAGCATGTGCACAAAAAAAGAAAAGAAGAATGTATTAGAAATGGCAGATTGTTGATATACAACACTGTAAAAGTGTTTGAAGGAAATATGTTCCTTCAGGTGTGTTGAAGTAATTCTGTTCACATCTGCTTTCAATTTGCTTTCTGTCCACCTCTTTGGATAGTCTCACAACATTAATTAGAGAAAGTGTCGCATGTGTAACTGTGCAATCCTGTGTAGTGGATCTGAAGTAGTACATTGCTGCGTTAATATATTGAGTACTCTTACAAAATATGAGCTCTGTGTCTCAGAGAGTTGAGGATATCAAGATTTCAAGTCTTTGTTTCATTGTGTAAAACTTATCTCGCTTACTGGCACCCGTTCTTTCTTATTGCATTAACATTCTGACTGCAGTTACAACGTGAAACAAGAGTCATATGGCTCTGGCTCTATTGAACAACTCTGATTAAAACGAGTAAAGGTTAATCTCATTAACACTCTCCTACCGTGGAAGGACTTACAAACCCCAGACTTGGTCCTGATCTCATGTCTGTCTGTCTGTCTGTCTGACTGCAGGAGGATTCAAAGGTTGCGGTCACAGTCATAAAGGACACCCTGGGAAGCCGCACTGGTCTTGTTGTGGCAGCACCGTGGAGCGGTCCGAGTGTTTGCCTCAGAGCGTGTTGGATGCAGTTTCCCCCCGCGGCCACCTGCGAACTGTGGAGCTCTGAGGCGACGCAGAGAGACCTGTCAAGATGATGCAAGTTAATGAAAGATGGCAGCAACCAAAAGGTTAGAGCGGCGGGGTAGTAGGGTTGTTGGTGTAATTCTTGAGCAGACTTGAAAAGGTCAGACAAAGAAAGAGAAGCTCTAAAGCCACGGTGACTGAGGCAGGACATTAAAGTCGAGGTTTCTTGAGAGTGCTCACCTCTGCCAGACATTCTGCTAACTGTCATTGTGAAACAGTCGCCAGTTTACCATCAGAGACCAACATATAAGACAAAGACCTGAGATAAAGGCTGTGAATCTATGTGGTAAAGTGCCTTTTGTGTCTACGCTCTGCCTACACATGACAAGAAGACAGAACAGAAAGAAAATTAAATGCTCCAATCACAACAGCATGCTTCTCCTCTTAAATCAAATGTGTTAGAAGCCTTGCTGAAGGGCGCCTCAGAGAAGAGATAGTTTTGCTTCTTCATTGCTTCACTTTTCTTTGACCCCACAGTCTAAGTCTGATTTATTTATTTTTAACCTTGAAGCTGCTGTTGATTTCAAAGGTGCTGGAATGTATTGTTACCGTCGATGTAACACTCTTTCATTTTTTCTGAGAATCATCAGACTGTTGAAGTGCTGTATCCTTCAGTTAAGGAAAACACATTTTCAAACAAAGTGCCTCAAAATAAATGTGATGCTGAAAGAACAATAATTCCTATTAATCCGCACAGTACAGAATAAGAGCTGGGACGCTGATAATCCATTTACATTCTCATGAATTCTGAATTTTATTTTAGATGGTAAAGTACAGAGTTTGCAGTAATCAAGGAAGTAATTACAGAGGCAAACAGATAAATCAGCAGGCAGATACAATCAGCTGATATTTAGCTAATTGCTGATACCTTGTATTGGCATATATATCAGCCAATAAGTAATAATAAATTTCAGAACTGAAATTCTCTTTAATATCCAAATTTAAACAAACCTTATGAAAATATTTGTTTTCAAGAAATAACCATAATGCTACAGTTAAAAACAAGTACTGTGCTAAAGAGAGAAGTTATTTATTTGTATACATACTCAAAATCAAATTAGGGGTTGATACAACCATAACACTGTGAAAACTCTATTATTTCTTTATGTTCACTTAATTACTTTTTTGGAACAATATTTCCCTCTGAATTTTTTCATAGTAAAAAAAAACGGGTAATTATTAACAACAGGTACTTTCTGGTGCATTTAATAATGACCAAATACTGGATAGTTACGCACACAAAATTGCAATATTCTAACAAATAGATAACCTAATATAATCCTATTTCAGACCACAGGAAGATACATTTGGTTACAAAATAAATAATCAGTGAATACCTAGTTAATACAACTCAATGATTATATTCTATTGATGAGTTGATGCCGATATTGTGGCGATATACAGTTTACAAAGGTTTGGAAATATGAATTTCAGTGCCCTGTTTATGAAATACGGTTTCCATGGTCATGTTATCCTATATACAGACGCACTGAGCTGGAGTACACTGTTCCTGTAAATTCACCCAGGATTATTCTGTCATTATTCATTATATAAAACATATTCTTGTTTTCTGAATAGCTTTTGTCTTTGTTTTGTTTTTTGCTCTGTTCTTTCTGTATCAAATCTCAAGTGCTTATTATTGTTTTTACTGAGGAGAAAGTCCATCAAATCTGCTCAGAATTGCATTTTTCCTTCCGGTTCATTAGAAAGGAAACACTGTGACCCA